CCCAGCCTCCTGCCTGGCCTATAAGGTGAGGATGACATCAGCACTCACTACATAGGATTGGGGGGCCCCAGAATAAAACATTCCGAGTAAAATTAGCCAAGTGGAGGCAGAGGGCAGGCACGCAAAAAAACCGACGGCCACTGGCACGCAATCAGGGACTGCTTCACTCCTCAGAGTCAGATACAACGGTGTAAGTAAATGTGCCTTGTTTTGTTTTCCAATTTCCGCTAATGATCCAGGTCTGCTTTCCTACCCGCTCTGGGTGCTGGGTGTTAAAGCAGGTTTGGAGAAGGAGCCTGCCACTCTTGTTCCAGGTGCCAAAGCCATTTGAAGCTCCATGGTTCCCAGGTGTGTGGAGAAAAGGACGACCCCATGTGGCATCATTCCTGAATGGACTAGCCACGTGGACACAGCAGAGCCCACACACACGGTGAAACTGGTCTGAGACCCAGCGGGGAGAGCTGAGGCGGCCACTTCGGCGATCTCTGGCTTCTTCTTCCTTGGCATTTAGGAGGAGGAGCGTCCTTCCTTCTAGCACCAGAGTTCCCCCACACTGCCCCGGGGCGCAGGGCTGCTCAGTGAGGCACTGCGCTCCCGGGAGTTCTGCCAGAGACCACCAAGGCCCGTGTCCCCCGAGCGCCCGCAGCTGGGAGCCAGGCCACCTGAGTCCAGAAAGAGACGCCAGTGGCATACAGCAGCTTCCAGTCCCCCTGCCCATCGGCACAGAGCACCTAACGCCTGGGACCTCTGAAACCACACTTTCACCCCTCCTGCCAGCGTGCTCCGCGCTCTAAAGACCGGGCACCTGACGTGGGGCTGGGGGAGAGAAGGACGAGGTCTGGCCAGTGGCACCCCCTCCCTCACCCCTCCTCTCGCCCCGTCACTTGGCAATGTCTGCAGATATTTTTGGGACTTGGAGGTGCTCCTGGCGGCCAGTGAACAGAGGCCGGGCGCTGCCTGCCTCCCACAGCGCCCAGGCAGCCCCAGGACGGAGCAGGTCTCCCGAGGCCCACAGCGCAGACAGTGCACACCGCTCTGCTCCTCCTCTCCAGCTCCATGGGAACCCGCTTCCCCCCACGTCCCCTCAGAGGCAGACTGGGAGCCAGTGCAGCGCTCACGCTAAGACTGTGCTCCTGCAACCCAGGCCCAGAGAGAGCTGGGAGGCCAGTTCCCCGCTTTTGAATATTTATCATAGAACGAGAATAGGGCCTTTCACCACAGCTACTTAGCAGTTTGTGACTTCAACTCCCAGGTGTATTATTTCTTTTGAATTAGAGGCTCCCGGGTGGGGGTGCAGCTCGCCGTGCCCTGAAGGAGACCCCGTGCCCCGGGGCCATGCTGGGCGCCCGGCTGCGGGGAAGGTCTCCTGGGGCCACAGGACACGCGCTCTCAGCCACTCTCTCCACCGACTGCACAGTGAGGGCCGCAGGGGGCAGTGCGGGGCCCGCAGGCCGGGGGAGGGGGGGGGCAGTGCGGGGCCCGCAGGCCGGGGGGGCAGTGAGGGGCCCGCAGGCCGGGGGGGGGGCAATGAGGGGCCCGCAGGCCGGGGGGGCAGTGAGGGGCCCGCAGGCCGGGGGGGGGGGGGGCAGTGAGGGGCCCGCAGGCCGGGGGGGGGCAGTGAGGGGCCCACAGGCCGGGGGGGGGCAGTGAGGGGCCCACAGGCCAGGAGGGGGGCAGTGAGGGGCCCAGAGGCCAGGAGGGGGGCAGTGAGGGGCCCACAGGCCAGGAGGGGGGCAGTGAGTGGCCCAGAGGCCAGGAGGGGGGGCAGTGAGGGGCCCGCAGGCCAGGAGGGGGGCAGTGAGGGGCCCGCAGGCCAGCGGGGGCAGTGAGGGGCCCAGAGGCCAGGAGGGGGGCCAGTGAGGAGCCCACAGGCCAGGAGGGGGGCAGTGAGGGGCCCAAGGCCAGGAGGGGGGCAGTGAGGGGCCCACAGGCCTGGTGGGGGGGGGAATGAGGGGCCCAGAGGCCAGGAGGGGGGCAGTGAGTGGCCCAGAGGCCAGGAGGGGGGGCAGTGAGGGGCCCGCAGGCCAGGAGGGGGGCAGTGAGGGGCCCGCAGGCCAGCGGGGGCAGTGAGGGGCCCAGAGGCCAGGAGGGGGGCCAGTGAGGAGCCCACAGGCCAGGAGGGGGGCAGTGAGGGGCCCAAGGCCAGGAGGGGGGCAGTGAGGGGCCCGCAGGCCTGGTGGGGGGGGAATGAGGGGCCCAAGGCCAGGAGGAGGGCAGTGAGGGGCCCAAGGCCAGGAGGGGGGGCAGTGAGGGGCCCAGAGGCCAGGAGGGGGGGCAGTGAGGGGCCCGCAGGCCAGGAGGGGGGCAGTGAGGGGCCCAAGGCTAGGAGGGGGGCAGTGAGAAGCCCACAGGCCAGGTGGGGGGCAGTGAGGGGCCCACAAGCCAGGTGGGGGGCAGTGAGGGGCCCACAAGCCAGGAGGGGGGCAGTGAGGGGCCCACAAGCCAGGAGGGGGGCAGTGAGAAGCCCACAGGCCTGGTGGGGGGCAGTGAGGCCAGGTGC